ATGCAAAATCAGCCAAAGTCCGCATATTTTTGCGGGGGCCGCATTTTTTTCAAATATGCCGCACTTTCGCCGCATAAATTGCCGATTTCCGTGCAAAATATGCGGGGTTTGCATAATTTCATAATCCTCGCATTTTCGTTGCAAAAAAAGTCACATGTATCTTAGCAGAAAGTTGAAAAATGTTGCGTTTGCTTCACACAAGAGCAGCCATTTCCCCCTGTTTCCATGGGAACGTTATGAAGTGACGCAATTACGCGACGCCAGACAGACTCACGGAAGCGATTGACATCTCGTATAACTGTCTGTCACACGTTCTACCGTCACATCGTTACTTAATAAACAACATAAGATAAAATAAGTAGCATCAAACAGAAATTACCCGCACACATGGGTTCGAGGCGCACATATAACACTGCAGAGAGTTCAACAGGGAGCGCGCAGCTCTTAAAGGGGCCACACCTTATTTACACTCGTTACAGTCTGAAATAAAACAAGATGAGAAATTAAATATTCCCAGCACTTTCTATGATGTAGTATGCTTGCTTATCAAAGGAAGTAATAAGAAATGACTCTTACATTAGCCTAGTGAGAACAGGATGTTGGGGGAATCACTTTTTTTCTCTTTTTCATCAAACTGCAATTTTTGCAAGTTCCCTCAATTTTTGCAAATTCCTGCAATTTCATCGCATAAAATTGTATAAATGTGACCCCGCCTGTGGAACCCCGGCTAAAGTCGCAGAATCTAATTATGAATAAAAGAGCGTCAAAGTAGTCATAGCCATAAAAATGACAAAAATAGGTAATGTGTGTTTATTGCTGTAAATGATAGATTATTACAAGGGTTTTGAGATTCAATACTCAAATTTTAATTTATAACATGATAAATACTAAAATTAATGATTTTATTGACACTACGTTATACTTTTGCGCAGCAAAAAAAAAAACCGGACGCGGGCTTTAACATTGATTTCAATCGTATCCGGGTTTATTTTTCAGCGCAACAACACTTGCTGATTCCTATCATTCAGTTCAGGAACTTCTTTTTGACTTATTTTCTATTAGAAAGAGTAAACAGACCTTAAAATCAATCCGCACGCGTGGCAATCAGGTCAACACAATGGAAAAAAAGCGACTTCACTTCAGCCGGCCGGTTCAGATCTCTGAGGTGTTTCCGTGTCATCGCCAAACATTTAACTTAAGAACAGCTTATGTGTTTTGTAGCTCTGTATTCTGCCAATAATATTATTATATTATATTATATTTGTGTCTTATAAGTGTCAATAATATAATTCGTTAGCTGGATTAACTGTTAACTGCGTCGTTTTGACATCTGACATGGCAGCACCGAAGCATGTGCAAGAACGTAAAATGTCTGATTGCTTAAATATTAATCTCGGTGGAATTGCCCAAATTATGATTTAAGCGGTTTTATGGCGGATTATTTTCTGGAGGATAATGGTGATGATGAACAGGACATTCTTTGACGAAACTGAAGAGGAATTTGACGGTAAGTTTTTGTCATTATAATTTTTTTAATGCTGAATATGTAATACTGTCAGTGCCAATGTAATGCTAACACAGAATTCAAACTATGATGCAAACATAGTGGATTTAAATGTTTATTACATTTGTTGGTTGGAATTGAGTCAGTTTAAATTAATTACTTTTATGACATGATGTTTATTTGTTTGATTACACCCTGAATTGAAGCCAGGGCCATGTAGCCATACCTGTTTCTTGTCTCTATGCCCTCCCCTCAATTAATCAGATCCAGTCTAATATTTTCATATAAAATGCTTCATTATTCATTTTAAATGTGGATTTAAAATGGATAAATCCCCCCGCCCCCCATGTTTAGTTCTCCATTTAGGTCTCTTGCTTTGAATTGAAAAAAATATCCTTGTTTTTTCAGGCAGTGACCAACATGATGAGGACGAGCCAGTTTTGGTGATTGAACCTCAACCTATTATAGACTGGCGAATCTGAAGAGGGAACAAAAACAAGAAGAATTTGCTTCTAATGCTGGAATTCCAGATGTAAAACTGAAAATAAGTTTCTCTTGCAACTGCAAGTATTTCAATGCTGAAAAGTATTCTTCATTTTTCAAGGAGTGAGAGTTGCTGTCACTCAGGATGAGTCATTTGGAGATGGACAATACTGTACTAGACATGGTAGTTTTAGTACAAATACAAAGTCACTTGCACTCTGGGGAAGAAACCACTAAATCAAAAAAAGGATCACAGACTTTTGTGAATAGAATCTATGAGATTATTAAATATTTTGCATCTAGACAATTTTAGAATGTGTACGAAATTTGAGACTGACCTGTTAAAGGGATAGTTCACCCAAAAATTTGAATTCTGTCATAATTTACTCACCCTCATGTTGTTCCAAACCTGTATGAGTTTCTTTCTTCTGCTGAACACAAATAAGAGTTTTTAAAGAATGCTGGTAACCAGACAGTTGACGGCACACATTTATTTACATAGTGTTTTTTCGCCTCCTACTAAGTCAATGTGTGCCGCCAACTGTCTGGTTTAAAATATCTTATTTTGTGTTAAACAGAAGAAAGAAACTCAAACTGGTTTGGAACAACATGAGGCTGAGTAAATAATGGCAGAATTAAAATTTTTGGGTGAACTATCCCTTGACTTATTTTTTTAATTTTAAAAAAAATAATAATATTTTTTTTACTCCAGATTTACTCAATGTTACACCGTGGCCCAGTAAGAGAATGAGATTTTCTGCCGAAATGTTACATGTTAATTATTTGATATTGATATATTATTGATATTATATTTGCACTGATATTTCATTTTACTAATAAAGTTATACAAATCATTCCACTGAATTGACTTGATAATTGTTGCTACAATCAAGCCCCATTTGTTTCAATGTTTTTAGCTTTTTGGACATGCACATCATAATAAATAGGCCTGTTTTATGAAACTTTAAGAATTTTCCCCAAAATGTGTCATATATCACTAAAAAAGGGAGAATCTCAGCTTTAATGTGGTATATGGCACATATGGAGGATAATTATGGATCAAATGTGTTGCAGTTTTAAAAATAAACTTTTTTTAAAAATGGAATTTCTCCAAAACATGATTTTCTGAGCCCGGAATTTAGCAAATCTTTGACACAGCCTTACTCAGTCAATATTAAAGATATCAAGGTTATATTTTCACAGAATGTTCTTTACATTATGTAGGATGATTGTATGTAGAAAACAGTGAATCACAAAAAAATGACTTTAGCTGGGTTTTCACAGGCAGGGTCACAAATATCCCGCATATTCCATCGCATTTTTAAAGAAAACTGGCCGCGTAATCAATCAAATTTTGCCCGCAACAATCACAAAAAACTCTGCGTTTTTCTGGAAGGACTGAATTATTATGGTAAATGTTATATATAAATCGCAAATTTTTTCACAAATTTTTGGAAATTACCACCACAAAATCAGTCATTTTGATCGCAAAAATCACAAAAAAAAATCGTGAAATCCTGGAGGGACTGACATATACACATCCAACCCACCCATTGCACAGGAAAATGGCAATAGATCGCAAAAACACTATAGACTGCTGAAATATTTGAAGCCATTAAACATTTTTAAAAGATAATTTTAACAAAATAATCTAAAATAAATAAACACAGCAACTTAAAAAAAAAACTACTAATCTTGGAACAATTTTACAGAGCCCTGATTTCTTGACCGGTATTGACGAAGTAATCCAGCAATGGTCCACTGGTAAGTGGTAGTGGATAGGCTTGTATTAATAAAATGGTTGGCTATTAAATCACAGGGAAACACAGTAAAAGTGATGTACTAATGTTCAGTTCAGCCTAATTGAACACTGTCTTGTCAATTAAGCAGAAAGTCTCTTCTGTTTCTAAGAAGGTTCTTAAAATGTCTGCAATTACATTCCTGGCGAAGGCTCAAGGCACTAATAGAATATGGTGAAGGGAAAGAGCAGACTTTAACTTCAAAGCAACATTAAATGCTTTGGGAATAACCTAAACAAAATAATGGAAAATTAATGCAAGGTAAATGCTTAAATACATATCAAAATATTTACTTTACATTCAATTTAACAGGTTCTTCAAATGTAGCATCTGTTTTCTTGTTTGCTGTAGTGGTTAAAGAATGAGAGCAGTAAACTGGAAGGATGCTGGTTCAGCAAAGAGTGAGCTGTGGGCCAACACCATTGAGCCTTTGAGCACAGCACATATAGACTACCAATGCCCCTGAGTAAAGCACTTAAAGGAACAGTTCATCCATATGTTCCAAACCATGTGACTTTCTTTCATCCTTACAACCTAAGAGTTGAATTTTTGTAGATTATCTTGGACAGTTATTTAAAAACAAAATGAAAGTGAATAAGTTCTGTCTCAAAAAATCTAAGTCAAACTGATTGATAAAGATCATTTATTTGTATAAAATTAGCATGATATATAGTAACGAAAATACTTTTATGAACCCGTTTATAAGCCATATAATTTATTTTTAAAGATTTTCAGTGAATAATGACTTAAATGTTATAGGTAACAATGCAGAGAATGTCAAAACCAGCACACAACTGGTCTGGATTACTTACGTCCTTTACGAAGCTTTATAATGTATTGGTTCATTGTAATTCCATGTAAAAGAGCAACACATTATTAAAATTTCCCTTTTTTTCCACTGGGGGGACTTGGAATGACATTAAGAGGAGCAAATAATGACAGAATTTTCATTTTTGGATGACCTATCCTTGAAACCCCAGCTCCAAGGGGATTTTCCCTGTAATAAGTTTGTGGTCACTGTTCCATGGCGACATTGTGGTAAAGCTGTGGTTATAAATAAAGATTCAAGAGTTACAGATTTCTGGAAAATGCATCTTTGGATGAATCACGTGTTTTTCTATCTATGGTGAGTGGTTTTAGATAAAAGCATATGCTAAATGAAGAAATGTCAGTTCAATTCAGGACTACATTATAAAACGCGTTGACTTGCCTACCTGCAGTGTACATCCATGCGGCAGGTGTTGCGTAACTGAAGACAGTTGGGTTTGCTCTTGTCTAGGTATGAGCAAGAGGGTACAATGGTCTGTCTCCTCCTCTCAGCACAGGCCTGGTCCTTGCAGGAGCAGAAGAGAAGCCCGTAGGTGTATTGCGTGTCAACGCGCTCAAAGAACTGACGCAAGGCTTTATGGCAGCGTTTTCTGTTGCAGCTCTCCTGTGACTGAGACTGTGAGGGTTGTTGGCCCTGAGTCTGCGCACGGGTACAGGTGGAGATGTAGTTGGAGCGCTGACGCTTGCAGTTTTCATTGAGGTTGCAAGCTTTGGTGGCGTCCAGACAAGGGTTGCATGTGCGGCTGGGATCTGAGCAGTGTGGCTGGCCTTTACTTGTGCCCGAATGTATGCCTAGGAGAGGAGAGCAGGAAAGACAAGTGAGATTGTGTTTGTGAGACTGATATAAGGAGAGTGAAAGGGGAATCGAGAGTGGGTGTGCATAAGAAAAAAAGAGTTGCACAGATGTATTGGACAACTCCAGCACAACAATGAGCTCTTTGATCTGATTCCAACTCAATGTCCCAACAGGGGATGCTTTCAGAACACTCTCACACCAATTATTAGAGAACTTTCCATAGATGTTTTTTTTTTTTTTTTTTCTGGGCTAATGATATTGTCTATCCCATAACCATAATCCCCCTAAACATAATCCTGCATTTTTACATTTTTTAATAACAATAATAATAATAATTTTTGTAAAAAAATCCTTATTTAGCGATTTAATTATATGCTTCCAATTCCAATATATGTATGTATATATGAAGAGTTCAGATGCAAAAGCCTCTAAATGCCATTTGAAATTTTCTTCTAGAATGATCATTTTTATCAAGCTTGTATATTTAAGTTCAGTGATTTCACTTAAATGGCAATGATAATTACATGTTAATTGTTATTTAAGTGAAATTACTGAACTGAAATATACAACTTTGATAAAAATCATCATTAAAGAAGAAAATTTCAAATGGCATTTAGAGGCTTTTGCATCTGAACTCTTCATATATATATATATATATACACACACACACACACTCACGTACTGAATTTTAAAAAAGCTTAATTTAAATGTGTAAATGTGTCTAAAATGTGTTCATTCTAATATGCTGATTTGGTGCTCAAGAAACATCTTATTATTATCAGTTTGAATGGGCAATGCACGTTTGCTGTGGATTATCCAATGTAATCCTGACCTTTGACTGAACACGGTCCTGACAAAAGAATGGACATTAAACATTAGCCGTACCCTTGCTAAAACCAAAAGTGTATTATCTAAAACCCTACTGAAACATTTGCATTATTGAAACCTCGAGTGATGTATATTCTGTGCACACTCCGATTAGTACATTCAAGATAAAGAAAAAGTGGGCAAAGGGAAACAAGGGCACGTATCCAGCTGTGCGACGTCTGTAATTGTTCAGTTGAAGGCTTCTGAACGAAGCATTCAGGGGATTGGGGAACTATCAGCTGGAGACTGTGGGGAAGTTCTGGACCTCTAAAAGTGTATGAAGGTCGGCATTGATATGTTGTCCTAATGGCGTCTCTAGCCTTGACGGCAGCTCTGGTGATTGGAGAGAGAGCGGGAGAGAAACTAATAAAACCCAGTGGGTGTTGGTATAACTTTGAGAACAGATGGTTTATAAGACCCCTTGTGGAGAGCAAAATATGAATTTCACTCGGAATGTAGTTTTTTTTAACTTATGAATAAAGTGCTAATGATCTAAATGTCTGAACTGTTTACTCTAAATGAGTGGACATATAATATTTATGTAAATAAAAAGGGAGTAGGCATATAAATTACCTTGTGTTATGGCAGCAAACGACTCAAGAAAACATTAGAGATTTTCATGAAGTCCTTTGAAGATATTTTGAAACTGATTGATATTAATGACTATTTTGATGTTTGTTGGGATTAATCTTGGTTTCAGAGTAGACATCATTGATCAGAGGTCTTGTATTTACAAAGCAATGATTAATAACACATGTTCAGAAGCCTGACATTAATAAGACATGGGAATGTTTACATCAAACATATCGTAACTTATTAAAGATTCCAACATACCCATACTCATCTGTCTTACAGATTTATACATGTGATGTAGATCTGGACTAATGATTTTACCATAGCCATCCCTGCTAGAAGCAAATACAAGCATTTGTCAGATATTTGAAATAACACAGATTGCCTATGATCTCAAGTATCACTACAGTTAAATACAAGAGGGACTCCTGCATGCAATCAATCAATACAATTTGTAACAAGGGCGATCAATGCATGAAACCCCTCTTCCTCGTTACCTTACTTCCCAAGGTTTTTTTTTTAGGCTTTAAAAGATTCATTTCCAGAGGACAAAAAACACCAGAAGTGCATTTACTGATCCTCTCTGAATTTAAAAATACACACAACCATGTTGATATGTTTGCATATCAATTGTTATTTTTGTTAACTACCAAAATACCCCAAAATATTCTTGTTATATACATGTGAAATCAAATTCCATCAGCTTAAAAATATAAAAAAAGATCTGTCAGAATGGCTTTAGCATGTTATTGAATGTGGCAATGTTCATTTGGTCTTGGAAGACTAGATCTGCTACACTGCTGCTGCTGTTGATTATCGCTGCAGAGCAAGTTGCTAATACACAGACATGACCTCAGGGTTCCTTGTCTGTGTTGTCTTTGTTTCATGTTTCTAAGTTTGTCTTGTGTTTGAGCACATGGCTCTTTCTTTGTTTGTGTTTGCCATGTGTACCATGTGTGCCTCATGTCCCGCCCCCTTGTTTAGTCCCGCCCAGTCCTTGTTTTGATTAATTGTGCTCACCTGATCCTCATGTGCTCTGGTCCCTTTAAATTGTTACTCTCTCCTGATTTGTTGTATAAATGTTTTTTTTAGTTTTTTTTTTTAAATCCTATTCCCAGTATCAGAGTATCCTAGTTGCTATTTTGTTTTTCTCTGCTTCTGTTTTGTGTAGTTTTAGATTTTGTGCTTTATAATCTAGTTTGAGTTCTTTTAGAATTTTATTTTTTAGTTATTTTCTTCAAGTCTTGTCAAGTTTCTTGCTTTTCTTTTGCAATTCCATTTTTCTTTAAATCTTAGTTTCCAGCCCATTCTCACCCCCAAGGCGTCACCTAACTGACGCCTTGGGAAGCATTTTGACCATGCTTCAATATCTGACGCTTTAGGCGCCTTTTAGCATCAGTTAGATGACACCCTAGGATCGCGTGTAACCCTACCCCCACCCCAGACCTAAACCTAACCGCGTCATCTAACTGACGCTTTCCTTTGGCGTCAGTTAGACGACGCCGTAGGATCGCGTCATGTTACTGACGCTAAAGGGCGCCTAAAACGTCAAATATTGATGCATGGTCAAAGGTGACGCCTTGGGGTGAGAATGCGTTGCAGTTTTATTAGTTTGCTACTGTTATTTTTATTTCTCTATTTTTTGTTTCTTTAGTCACTGATCTTATCAGTTTAATTTTGGTTCTCTTAATTGTTGCTATATCCTGTCTGAGTCTGTGTGTTCCTGCCCTGTATCCTGAGTTCCCTTGACTGGTGCTGCTATCGAACCCCTGTGTCAAGCCTCTGGTTCTGTGAGCCTCTAGCTGGTAGCAAGACTGGTGCAATATCTGAGACCTACGTCAAGCTACAAATTTTCTTGTGTTCCTGCCAGGTCTTTCCTTCAGAGCTGCCTCTATAGCACTCACGTAATCGGTATCTTACTGAGGGTCTCAGTGGTCATACATGTCGTCTGCCCTGCCTGTTTGAACTGGTTCACCCTTCACTCTGCCTGCTGTCTAAAGTCTTCAGTCTTAAAAAAACCCTTGTCTGCTCATTTGCTACTGCTGCATAAATTTACATCCATAAATCCAATAGCTGGTGGAGGGTTTTAGAGGAACTTTAATAGTGTGCTACAGGACTAGCTTACAGCAAACACTGAACCAGACTATCTAAATGTTCAGCAAACAATCTCATTGGCTGCATGATCAGCAGAAGCCAATCCGTTTACAGGTCATGTCATGTGGTAATGATGTAATTGCTTGTAAATTGCATGGAAAGGACTAATCAGGCCCTAACTATATATTAACAATAATATCAATATTGTTTTATCTTGTTTAGATGGTTTCTATTAGATATTTGACAAAAACACTGAATAAGAACATTATTTTGGAGTGCAATCTACAGCTATTTAGACTGAGCCCCTTTAATTCACTGTATCCTTTAAAATAACGAGGTTGAGAAAATATCCAGTAATTGGTGCAATCTTGTGTTCCCATAGTAATAACCCTTTAAAAGTTCTTACTCTCAATCAACAAAAGCCATTTGCAATGTTCTGAATATGCGGCAAGCACAGGTTACCCAGATCTAAAAATACTGTGTGGTTTTAGAGTGTTTCTAAATTTGATTCAGAAGTCCTTGCTCTCTTGTCGTGTGTGTGTGTGTTTGTGAGAGAGCAATTTTAGGTGTGTCTCACAGTGGAGGAAGAAGCCGTAAATGAGGTATGAAATTGGTTGGCGAGAATGTACATAAAAAAAGCGTCCAGCATCTGGAGGTCAGAGGATGCTGCAGCACAGACTGCGCTCAGCATGCACAAACATTTGCCTGGTTAAAGAAGGGATAGCAACCGAACAGAAGGAAATGGGACAAAATATTGGGAGATGTTCAGATATTCTGCAAATATCAAACACAGGAATCTGCAGTAGCCCAAAATCCATGACAAAAGTGGTGCAACGGTTTTAGCGAATTCAACCAATATGTTTCTTACATTTGTGACAACAAATGACACTTGGAATTTTATTTGGCATCAGAGAGAAATGGAAAACCATAAACCTCCTCTAGAGAGAACCATTTGGGTCACAAAAACTCCATACTGAGATGAAAAAAAATGGGAAAATGACAAAGGAATAAAAATGATTTACAGTTTTTTTTTTCGTTTTTTTTTTTCTTCTTCTCAGCAAGAGTGCTGGAAGGAGCCCAGTAATTCTGTAACCTGCAAAACAAGTTGTGACCAAAAATGACCTGCTGGTAGACCAAAGGTCACAAATACTGTGTGATAACCAGTATAATTGAATGAATTAGTTTGAGTTTATAGGGCATGTGGGTTTATTTCATGTGCAAATACTCATACTTAGCACAGGCTACTTACACGGGCATATAATGTGTGAATATTGCACAATTTGTGTAATGGACGGCTAAAGGGACAGCAGGTTCAGTCTGGGTTATTCACAGCTCTTGGCACTGACTATGCTGATTGCAATTAGGAGAAGTGCCACAGTTTAGATGTAATCTCCTCTGAGGTGCGTGAGCTCGTTAGAAAGTCTTTAGCTTCTACTGTTGCTGCGAGGAGAATGGGAAGCCT